TCCATGATCATCAGATAAAATAAGAATATTTTTCTAGTTACAAAAATGACCAATTAAGTATGTTATCTATATCAGGCTTTAAACAATGAGATCTACCAACCGGATTTCTTAATAAATACAATCATTACGTTATTATCAAATCAAAATTTAGCCAATAAAGATGCAACAACCGGTTAACATGTATAATCAGACATGGGAGTATAAATACTTATGCATCTAAGTATCCTGGAAGACAGATCGGTGTGCACACACACACACATGCACGCACAAACTCTTCAGGAAAGTAGAAAAAAGAAAAGATTTCTCAGTTGAAATTGTCTTTGTAAAAATGACATATATATATAGGGCCATTGGCTATTCTTGGAAGGCAACAGGTAATATGTAGAATGGCTCAGAATCAGATGCTAGGATGTTCTGTTGGCTTGATCAAGTCAGTAGTAACACACAGATATCTTAATCTTGCAGCCACAGCGTGCTCAGAAAATACAATCTTCAGATGTTTCCTTAATCATTAATTCAAGTGAACAAAGACGTTTCAGCCTGAACTGAACAAAAGGGTTTTCTTTTCAGAAATGAGAGAGATCAGCTGGAGAGCTTGTTCTTAGAAGGTTTTCCTCCAATCAACTTCTTCCTAGCAGGCTTTCTTCCAACTGAACCAGACAAAACAAGTACTTTACCAAGCCAGTCACTGTTTACAGAAAAACAAGCAATTATCACTAGTCATATAATTTACAGGAATCTTTGTTAAAACAAAAATTAGCCAAAATAATCTTGGTTAATTTTCCTGCATTCACAGAAAGAAAGTGTCTATACTTTGTTTCACAGCTGTGATAAGAGCTGCAACTTGATCTGTGGTACTCTGAGTCGAGCCTCCTTTCTTTGCACTGATCCTGTGTTACTCACTAAATACCATGGTTTGTCTCACAATCTCCAGCCATCAGTAAGAAGATGTCCTACCTTGTAACATGGGGGCACTCAGGCCGTTGGACATCTTTTCCACACTCAGCACTTTACTTTTCAGCCTGAAGAGGAGATCCTGGCGTTTTCCCAGGTGCCCTACCTACTTGTCTTCTTTTCATTTTCCATGTTCGACTTATCTCAGTTTTGTGAGTTGTCGTGTGCTTTGGACATAGCAGTCAGGGGCACATTGTCTTCCCGCTTTGTGGGCAGAGACCTGGAGCTCCTGCTGGGTGGGTTGTGAAGGTACAGGACCTTCTCCTAGCCCAGTACTGCAGTGTAGTCTTTGATAGCAGACCAAGCCAGCCGGGTCTGGGTCAAAGCAGTCTCAGTCATCTGGAGGGATGCCCAGCACTGTAGGAAGAAGATTGATGTCTTTCTCCACTCTACCAAGTGCCGCCATCTTCTTTCCAATGCCTCACACTCACTCTCTCTCTGCCACTGCACTCACCTCCCACAGGGCTCATGCTCTACCACTCTCACTATCGCCTACATCATCTTCCCTCATTCATTCTCGCCATGCCTATACCCTGACACCAATATCTCACATGCCCTCTGTGCTGCCTACTCAGTTAGTTGGGACATCTCCCCACCTACATCAAAATTAAAAGCTGTGCCATCCAATTTCATTTCTCTCATTCCAGGAGGAAAACAGCTCCCATTGGGGCAGAGAATTTCTACATGGATAATGGGCTGCCCAACATTCAGCTTCTCACTCTTTGTAAGGAGAGCATCCTGACTCTGACTGTCCCATCTGGCAGACTGATCATGTCCAAGCCCCTGG